AAAAAGCTAAACTCTAAATTCTGCCCATCATGTTTTGTATCTGCAGAATTTCGACCGGATGGTCCGTTCTTCTTCACTAAAAGTTGCTGAGGCACAGCTGTAGTTTAACAGTGTCAGCTGGCTGATGCTCTCAGTATAAGAGCTTTAAATATAACTCTCACTGATGACGTCTCGAGTGAGAACTAGGCCTAACGCATGGGCTCACATCCGCTGGCTTCACGAGGCACGAATAGCTCCTCTGTGTAAGGTGTCACTGTGTATGTTTCATATTACTCTGTATTAATTTCTACGCAATTATATCATAAGCTGCTACATCGGCATGTAATTTGACACAGAGGAAAAGTTCAAATCCCTTGCAGGCTAGTTAATGGAAAGAAGTTCAAGGTATTACTCATATAGCAGGCCTACATTATGTAAAGAACAGTGTGACGAACTGAAAGTAGGGATGCTACTAACTTAACTACAGACATTTTACAATAGCGTGACACTATAATATAGTGAAAAGTTTGTTGGGTTCTTCTATGGTAACATTGCGAAAACAACCTTTTGGAACCTTTACTTTTAAGAAGGTAACTTCCTACACTCTAAAAATGCTGGGTTAAATACAACCCAGTGCTGGGTAAAATAGGGACAAACCCAGCAATTGAGTTGTTTTGACCCAGCGGTTGGGTTACTACCCAGAAGGTTGGGTTAACATTTAACCCAATCGCTGGGTCAAAACAGCCCAATTGCTGTGTTTATCCCTATTTTACCCAGCACTGGGTTGCATTTATTAACCCAGCATTTTTAAGAGTGTAATAGTCTAGTTTTCCATAAACATGCTAGATTTTCCACAAGTATGTCACATATGCAGTATTAGAAAATCTGATTGCTTTTAGTAAATCAGTTTGTTTAAGGCGGTTCACCTAAATAAGTGATTCACTGCATCATCTCTTGTGAAGTGAAATATATGCTAAAATGATACTGTTTGTCACTATGTGTTATATAAATTCCAGTATTCTAATTCTAGCAGTAACACTCTTAAAAATAAAGATTCGTTCTTGGCATTTATGGTTCCATGAAGAACCTTTAGCATCCAAAATTTCCATTGCACAAAAGATTTTTTATTGGTTTTTTTGGGGGGTTTTTTTGCATGAGAAAAAAAAAGACTGTTTACTAAAAGGTTCTTTGAGGAACCTGAAGTGGCCCTTCTATTGCATTCATTTAAAAGAGTGATTTGACTGTACTAAACTACAGTTTAGTCTGTATTAAACTAGTTTGTAGCTTGTCACACTACTGTACAGTTCAAAATAGCTTTCTTAACGCTGGTATAGAGGGGGAAAGTGTGATAACAGGTTAGAACATATGACAACAGTGGCATCTGATTCATTGAGAAACATTGTTGACAGGGAATTTACAGGAGTAAAAAGCATCTGGATAAAGTTCCATTTTTTGCTTAACTGCATTAAAACAATGCAAACAACTAGATTTTTAAATTTTCTGAACAAAACGTGAGTGGTGCTTACCAATGCAAAAGTCACGCTGCAATGCTAGGCTGTTGTGGGTGGTTGCCACGTCACTTCTATGCAGTTGCTAACATGTTCTGAGTGTTTTTAGCACATTACTATATGGTTGCACCCCCTCTATGATATTCTAGGTTCCTAGATATGGTGTACAGCCTGAGTAAAAAACTGCCTGTGAGTGATCGCACATCACAAAAGTAATAGCACACCTCTTCTGAACAACCTCATGACCACAGGAAGAGTTACTCACCGAAGTTTAATAAGGGTAGGTTTAATAAGAGTTTGTTCAAATCCCTAACCCTGAGTATGAGCGGCAATAAAAATTTTGCTTGCCTTAGCAAAAACCACTAATTAGCATGTTTCATTCACTGCATTTATTCTCATTACAATGTGCAGAGCATTGATAATGTAGTTTCACTTTTCACTGTTTCAAATGCAAGATTCTTGCAGATTAAAATATCACTAATTCATCATATAATGTTTAGGCATATACTGTACAGTCGTTTTTGAAAGAAGTCTCTTATTCTCACCAAGGCTGCATTTATTTGATGAAAATACAGTAAAACTATTTAATATAACTATATTTTTATACATTTTAAAATGTAATTTATTCATGTGATGTCAAAGCTGAACTTTCAGAATCATTACTCCAGTCTTCAGTGTCACATGATCCTTCAGAAATCCTTCTAATTTGCTGATTTGCTGCTTAAGAAACAATTTTGATTATCACCAGTTCAAAAACAGCTGTGCTGCTTAATTATTTTTGTGGAAACCGTAAAACATTTTTTTTTTATGATTCTCTGATGAATAGAAAGTTAAAAACAGCAATTTATTTGAAATAGAAACCTGATTTATTATTGTCTTTATTGTCATCATTGCATCATTGCTGAATAAAAACATTCTCTATAGTTTATTAAGATAAAAATCGTACTATCCCAAACATTTAAGCAGTCGTGTATGTTTACTATAAACCCCTTTAGTAAAAAGTTTACCACTGAAAATAGCTGTCGAATGCAGTATCATTGGTTCTAGTCTGGCCCTAAATGACCCTCTGGCAACATGAATAGTTCAAACCAATCAAAACAGAGCGATCATCATTTCAACAGAATCCCGTTAAGTCGTTCTGTAGGCTAAATATTTGAGCATAATTAAATTACTACAAGGCTGACTTTATAAGGGAACATGTACTTGATTCTTGCAGGCTTCTTATGTGGTCCTGGTGTGAATATTAAAACCCCAGAGTACAGTGAACTTGATTTATTCTGCACTTCTGCGGTCAAAGTGAGTCAGAAGCTCAGTTCCAAAACATAATGAACTACCTTGCCTGCATTTTAAGTCATCATCCTGATACATTTTGATACTTATATTGTACTACTTCATTCAGTACTGAAGAATAACGCAGAATCTAATTGGAATGGACTGTTTACCCTGATATTTTAGTGTACTGTGTATCTTTGTGCTTAATGTATTGCAGAATTAGCTTAGTAACATGCGAAAATATGAAAATCAGATTAGTACATATTAGCAAAGCTGAAACAGTCCTGAAGGAGAAATCAAAGAGCTTGAAATGTCAATAATGAGGAAATTGCATAATAAGCTGTGCATCTGCTGTGTTTATTCATAAGGGCTCTGCCCAATATCATGATTATGCTAATGAGAATGCAAATACACAAATAAAGGTTTGTTGAACTTTGACTAGTCCCACTCACAGTCCGTTTACTCAATGCCTGATATATATATATTACACACAAAACTGGAAAGAACTTCCTCAATCCATCAAACGCCATTACTTATGGACGTAAAGGCTTTAAAATATAGTAAGGAATAGTGCACATGTAGTGAACTGCCTTTTCCAATCTTCATTCCACTCAATTAGATATTTTCCACTAATTATTCTGTTCGTAAAGACTACAACACCATTATCTGATATATTTTTTTTTAATGTGTGTTATAATCTATTTCGAATAAACCACCTTAAAATCACAAAAATGAAATTGTTTCTGGTTACACGAGAAACTGGGTTCCTTCTTCCTCTTTTACAGAGTCCATGATAATCTTTACAGCAAAATATACATTGTCCATAACATGCAGTGACACACTTCAATATGTCTGTGGACATTAATAACAGACAGCAAAAGTATTAAAGTCAGCGCTACAGTAGCCTATTACTTTAACATTCTGAGACTGTTTGGACAGTTAGCCTATGATAAGTTACATTTTAATAAAATGACACTGATTATTTTAATAGTCGACTTTTATAGTCAGGTTAGACGCCATATTGAATTTAACACGGCTGAAAAAGAGGCTGTGAGTGATTCATCTTTACAATGGCACACTGTAAAGTCCCTAAATCATGTGATTTTTATAACTCATAACTTTCAAAACTGTTTATGGTAAAAAAAAAATCGTTAAGACATTTCGTCAGTTCAACAATCGCTGTTGTCAAACAACAGTAATCCACGAAAAGCTCCTACTTTTACAGCCTCGTTTCCATTTATGTCAAAAAATTAAATATGGCGTTGACTAAGGTCTATTGTTGAAAGTGTTCCAACAACTCCAAAACAATTATTCTACCAGATGGAACAAAAACCAAGAGGAAAAAAAACATTAGGAAAGTGTCTTTGCCAAAGAAAATTGAAAACAAATGATGTGGAAATCAGCCACTTAAAATCACTTTTCAGGCTTTGACTCTGAACAGACAGAGGTCAGTCCCAAGTTACTTGTCAACCCAGTTAGTCATCTTTCCCTATTTCATCACATCATATAGTGTAAGTGTTCAAAGCGACCATTTATGCTGTCCTTAAAAACATTATGCAATAGCATAACCTGCTGCGCTCATATAGGCTACAAGAGCTGAACTGACATTATTCAACAAAATATGAAGTTCTCTCCTCATAAAATATCAAAATGCAAAACCACTTAAGCGACTATTAATATTAAAATGACGAATGAATAATCAGCGCCCCTCACTCAAGTGTATAAAACAGCTATACACTATTTAAAATCTATTAAGTAACTGTTGAAGTATTAACTTCTATTGCGGATTAGTCACAGATGCACCTTTCCAAACAGAAGCAATGGCTTTAAGCTCATTCCCTCCAAAGCGGTGACATCTCCCACTCAAATCAACTACTTCACAAAACTCAGAGCAGACACAAAGTGTGTCCAAATGAAAGAAAATTTCTCGTACTGACCATCTGAGCCATTTCACGCACACAATTCGAGATAATTCCTCTAACCAGTGAGCTTCCATGCAGTGGGATGCACTTGCAACAGAGACCCTGCACGGTTTGCAGGCACTTAAACAGATTGTAAAACGCCATGAGGGGGCAGAAGGGTCTCTTTCCCTCACGAGCACACAGAAACTACCTGACTTCGAGTGATAAAATGACAGCAGTCCTCCACCTGCATCAGCAGCAGCATCAGTGGTACTCTAGCGCAGGAGGACGCTGAGGGAGGAACACGGGGGATGCAGCAGAAATCCATCAGTCCTCTTACCTTGAAAGGGAACATATGACATCTTCCAACGGCATTGAAGGTGTTCTCCGCGTCTCTTCAGTCTCTCGACATGCAGAAATATCCTTTAGCAGTCATAGGAAGCGAAAAACCCCTTGTGCTCATGGACTGCGTCGACGTTGAAGCGATATTCCCGTGATGCGAATGGAGAACCCGAAACAAAATCATCGTCCATGGTCGACGAGAGCCATTGGGATGATTACAGCCCGTGTATCACATCACATATCACACACGCGTAAAACAAGAGTGATGAAGAAGAGGAGAACGAAGGGAGAGAGAAGGGGGCGGTGAAGGGAGCGCGCGCGTGTGTGTGCGTTTACCAGTGTAGATCGATCTAAATGCACTGTGTGTGTGCCTGTTAATGTGATGTGATATAATTCCCCTATAGAGTCACATGACCATTAAATACCAGGAAATGCTATAGTATGGTATTTCTATGATGCCATCACTGTTGATTCTAAGTTACACACTCTAAAAAATGCTGGGTTAAATACAACCCAGTGCTGGGTAAAATAGGGACAAACCCAGCAATTGGGTTGCTTTGACCCAGCAGTTGGGTTACTACCCAGAAGGTTGGGTTGAACATTTAACCCAACCGCTGGGTCAAAACAGCCCAATTGCTGGGTTTGTCCCTATTTTACCCAGCACTGGGCCGTATTTAACCCAGCACTTTTTAGAGTGCACGAGTACCTCGATGTGAAATTTTAACCTCAAATATTAACTTTTTCTAACCAAACTCAAACTACAGACTAGCTAAATATTATTATTTCACTTTCGGCATTTTTCATATTGCGGTAGCCTATTAGCTATAAGGCAAAGTATCACTATTAGCCTATACTATTGCTCATAATTGGGCTTATAGAGATTTGAATAAAGCAGCCATGATTCCTCAATCATGCAGCTTGTTGAAAAGACATGATTTTATTTTACTTTAAGTTGTTCAGCATCATGATTTTTGCCTGGTAGACAAAAAATGTACGAAAAAGTCCTAGACTACAGTGAAGGAGAAATGATCAATTTTCTGATAGAATATTACAGAGGGAAGGGATCGTTTGACTTGAGTCAGCAAGCAACCAGCTAGTAATGCCCTAGCAACCACCAAGAACACCTTAGCGACCAGCAACATGCAACCAACCACACTGTGGTGGGTTTTATACAAAAAAGAATAACTAAAATTATTTAAAACATTTTAAATAAGAAACTGTCAAACCGCTTATAGTTGATGTAAACCAGGGGGTTCAAACTGGGATCCGCGGAAAAGGTTTGAAAAAAAAAAAGAAATAGTGTAAAAAAAAAAAAGTTCAAATGAACTAATAAAAATAAATACATTAAAATAAGATTAAATAAATAAAAATGTGAGGTAAAATATTTTTAAAAATTACTATATACACAATACATCTAACAGTACTGTATTATAATGAGAAAACATATATAGGCCTAATATTTCTGTCCACTGACAACAAAGTTTTCCTTCTGAATTAGCATAACTGCACAAGTTTTATACTTAATAAAATCTTTAAAAACAAATGAGTTATACTTTCATTTCCTTCAATAAAAAGGAAATTGAGTAAGACGGTGTAAAAGGTGTGTGGACGTGGATTAGTAATCTGGCCCCTTGGTATAAAGGAGAAAAAATGCTGGCCCTCATCACTATCAAAGATGCCCATCCCTGATCTAGGCAGACTTGTTTCCCGCCATTTTTCATGGGGACAACCGCAGAACTAGTTTCTCACTAGTTAACATGACTAGGCTTGGTCAATCACGTGCACCTAACTTCTAATTACTTAAGATGAACAACTCATACTAAAGTAATGCATTTATTTCTCTCAAGATTCTCCAGAGCCGGAAAGTGAGGCCTGCTGTCAAGGCAACCAGAGCCAAAATGGCGTTCAACGCAGACCGAGTAAACTCTAAACTACAACAGTCCTGCTGTCTGCTATGTTATTTCTCAAAATAGATTACAATTCTTATAGAACACATAATACGACGCATTTGAATTTCTCAGAAGCATTATAATGATATTTCCCGGAGTGTCATATGAGTGCGCTCACCTGTTAAGAGGAAGTGGGCGTTCAGTGCTCGTACACGGCAGCCACCTGGTGGTCGCAACAATAAATACACACATACACAATATTCACACACTCTCTCACACACACACACACACACACACATAATCTTTTAAGAAAATTCATGTCAAAAAGACAAAGATGGATTTAAGTTTTCTCAAAATAGATTACAATTCTTATAGAACACATAATACGACGCATTTGAATTTCTCAGAAGCATTATAATGATATTTCCCGGAGTGTCATATGAGTGCGCTCACCTGTTAAGAGGAAGTGGGCGTTCAGTGCTCGTACACGGCAGCCACCTGGTGGTCGCAACAATAAATACACACATACACAATATTCACACACTCTCTCACACACACACACACACACATAATCTTTTAAGAAAATTCATGTCAAAAAGACAAAGATGGATTTAAGCTTTTTTTTTACTTTGCACCTCAGTATTGCTTTCTTCTTATAGACAAAACATTGCTATTATAACAATATTTCTCCATCAGAACAGCAGAAATAGTCTAATTCATGTGAGTACTAAAACATTTACTTGCACACCTGCTGTCCCTCATGTGTCCAAATGAAGAAATGATGACAAGTTTATGTTCATATGCTCTATTGTTATAAATGACTGGAAAAGACATTTAAACCAACATAAAAAAAAAAAAAGACAAAATTCCACCAAATCTGTGGGCAGAGGAACTGGACGAGTGCCAATTTTATACAACATAATGATATCTTTTTATTGTTTGTTTACATTTTAGGTGTCAACCTAGAGTACATATAAACATAATCTGACAAAACGTCAAAGAATACATCAAATTAAACTTAGACTTGACTATAAAAAAGACTACAGTCTGCTAATTCTTGTCAACCTGACATGAAATCAGTCCATCTATGACCTAACAAGTACGTACCATGAATAAAAAAAAACAGACACAATACATTCATTATCATTCACTGATGAAATGAGCTTCACATAAGGACTAACAGCCTCACGCTTTTATTCAGGTAGAATGATCTGCATGTAATATTTATTGGACCTGATAAATGTTTTCAGTTTCTGCCATTTTGAATCATATTTCAGTCGCTGGACTTTTTAAAAACAATAAGCGATTAGCTATTTGAGTTATTATGGAAGTCCACATACAGTAAGAAAAAAAAAATCATGCTTTGGTAAATCACAATTATGGCATGAAAAATGATGAAATTATGACATTTTAAATCATATCCATTAAATTAAAAGTCTCATAAAAGAAATACAATTTTTAATTATAACATGCGAACATGACATAGAATGTCTGACATAACAAGTCACAATTATTACAAAAATTTAGACTCATAATTTTGACTTTTTCTGCCATAACTATGTTATTTGTCATATACAATAATTATTCTGTCATAACTTTGTCAATTATGAAATGGTAGTTTATAATTTATATTTTTATGTCATAATTATAATTTTTATCTCATAAATATGACTTATGTCAGAATTTTGACATGACATTTTATGTCATAACTATGACTTTTGTCATAATTATGACCATCTCCTAATTTTCACTTTTTGACTTATTTCATAATTATCTCTTCTCATAAATGACATTTTGTCATTTTGATTTGACTTTTGATTTCATAATTTAGATTTACCAAAGCAAATTGTTTTGTCTTATGTGTCAGAAATAGGCTTCCACAAGTTAGTAATTAGGGTTCAAAGATTTAAGAACAGTCTTTTAAATTGAAATGAAATGTAAATTTATTCATTTAAATTCCTCCTCTGAATAAAATACGCTGACAAACTATAATCATTTGTCATTATTACTTAAAAATATCTCTTAATGTTTAAAAATGTGTATTAACTACATTCTGAATGTTTTGTTTGCCACCCATCATGAAAAGTCTGAAGCATACGCTTGCTATTGAAGGAATATTCCAGGGTTCAGTACAAGTTCAACAGCATTTGCAGCATAACGTTAATCCCACATTTTCTTAAATAAATAAACAAATAAATCAAAAAAGCTGCAAATGTCAAGATTATAGTGAAGCATTTACAATGAAATCAACAGGGTCAACTTTTAGAAAACAAATTTGTAAACCACTGGCATTGTGACATTAAGAGATTGGCCTCCTTCACTTCCATTTTAAGTGTAACCCACATTTTTGGTAGTGGAAATTATTTTTTTTAATAAAACGGGATAGTTCCGGTCCTTGATTCTGATTGGCTGAGCCACGTTCGAAGCTATTGTAAATTACTCTACAAACATACACCTTTGTTTACATTTGTGTGTTGCTTGGCAACCACTTTGTTGCAACCACAACTGATTCTGAGGAACTACATTATTTGGTGGAAGAATACTGTTTTTATTAATATCATTACACTTTATTTGCTCTGTCTTATTTTGTGAAACCTTACTGCATATATGGAATAACCGTTTTATAAAAGTAATAATCCCTGTGAAGCCGTGGTTTACAGTGAATTTATAACAGCTAAGGGGCCCCTTAGCCGTTATAAATTCACTGTAAACCACGGCTTCACGGGGATTATTGCTTTAGTAATTAACAATATGCCATAATTGCTGTTGATTGAGTTTGACTTGGACTAAACCTGGAATAGTTCTATAATGACTATTTTTAGAGGAGCACTTTTTTCCCTGTCGTTAAAATATTACAATTACTGATGTGACCGCATGATGAAGCTTTCCTGAAATTTCTGACCGTTACGTGTACATGAAGAACATGTGATGGCGATGAATAGCTTATACATTACAAATCATGACAATAAAGTTCAAGGCATTCTAAAGGCGTTTTCTAACAGTATTCAAAATATAGGAGACACTGTAAAAGAACGTGTAAGAGATTTAACAGTATAATCTCAGAGTGAAGCTGCTGTGTAGCTCAACCTGGATTTGCTCGATGTGGTTTTCTTCTCCCGACCGCTGAACACCCACCTGCTCATTGATGCTTTCACACCTCTGCTCGTAACCATGCAAACTCTAATGATGCATCTTGATGTCTCTAGCCCTTTCCTTTTTCTCTGTCGCACACAGGTTCTCAGTACACGTTCACATTTCCCCATTCCACTAGGTACTGGACTTTTCCGTCCGCCGTTACCCGTCTGGCTAGGATCCTGACGGAGTCGCTTCCCCCCCACCCCATCGGCGTGGGCCCCCCCATGCCGACTGTACTGGGGCAGGGTGGCACGTCATGCAGGTAGAGAGAC